GTTAGTTAGTTAGTTAGTTAGTTAGTTAGTTAGTTAGTTAGTTAGTTAGTAGTTAGTTAGTTAGTTAGTTATTAGTTAGTTAAGTTAGTTAGTTAGGTAGTTCGTTAGTTAGTTTTAGTTAGTTAGAGTTAGTTAGTTAGTTAGTTTAGTTCGTATTAGTTAGTTAGTTACGTTAGTTAGTTAGTTAGTTAGTTAGTTGTTAGTTAGTTAGTTAGTTAGTTAGTTCGTTCGTTCGTTCGTTCGTTCGTTCGTTTCGTTCGTTTCGTTCGTTTCGTTCGTTCGTTCGTTCGTTCGTTCGTTCGTTCTTTCGTTCGTTCGTTCGTTTCGTTCGTTTCGTTCGTTCGTTCGTTAGTTCGTTTCGTTCGTTCGTTCGTTCGTTCGTTCGTTCGTTCGTTCGTTCGTTTCGTTCGTTCGTTCGTTCGTTCGTTCGTTCGTTCGTTCGTTCGTTTCGTTCGTTCGTTCGTTCGTCGTTCGTTCGTTCGTTCGTTCGTTCGTTCCTCCGTTCGTCCGTTCGTCCGTTCGTCCGTTCGTCCGTCCCATCTGCTTCGGCCCCTCGCCACCCTGGCCCCCCCTCCCGGCGCCCCGCCTTTCTCTGCTTCTTCTTCCTTCCCCCCTGTTCCTCTCCCCCGCCCGCCCCCCTCCCCCCCTGTGTAAGTACATGTGTTTTTTTGTGGCTGTTTGTTTTTATAGTTTGGTTAGAGATTTTGTAAAGCAACGTGTGTTTATTTAGGAACTAGTTTTCGGTTTTTTCCCAGTGACTAAATATATGACTGGTAGTTTGTTTCGGTGCCAACAAAAATTTTAAGTTTTCTAATTTGACCTTATGACACGTAGCCAATCGATTTTATGAGCAAAAAAATATGAAGCCATAAAAGAAACAGCTTTATTCAAAGTATTGCTATTGCTAAAGATGATGATGATGGGTTTTTGCACAAAAATTTTTTTGTTACATCAATGCAATCAATTTTGTTAAAAAACAACCATAAAGAAAAATTGAACAAAAATATAAGTGAGGGAGTTGAAGGTGGCAAAAAAACTTTTCTTTTTTTTAACACTTTATTTTTCGATTTTTTTGTTAGAAGCAACAAACAACCCCACAAACCAAATACCACAAAAATATTTGTGTTTGAAATTTATACGTTCGTTAAACTGGCAACTCTTTTTATGTTGCCACAAAAAAAAAAGAACATGTTTTTTTATTGGCAACTTTTTTTTTTGGAATTTTTGCTAGACTACGTTTCTTTTTTAGTTGTTTAAAAAAATTTCATCAATATTTTGTTGGTGGGGTTATGTAATTTTTATAAAAGGATTTTTTTCTAGGAATTTTTCTTTTGGTTGGAAGTAAGAATATTGAAAAATTAAGTGGCAGGATATGTAAAAGTAGAAAATAGGAAAAAATATTTGTCTTTATAAGGTTCTTTTCAATGACATTTATTGCTCTTCAGAAGCCACCAATAGTTTTTAATTTTGATAAAATTGAAACTTTTTCTTTATAGGTAATAAAAAATATGAGTAAAAAAGAATGTTAAAAGCTTTTAATGAACTTAGCCACCACTTAAAATGTAATCAAATGCCATTTTATAAAAAAATAGGTTTTTTTTTTTAATTTATCCAAACACTAAAAACAAACAAACAAACAAACTATAATACTCTGTGGTAATATGGTAAAAGGATTTAAGTCAACTTTTTATAATTCTTGCTAAACAAATAAAAAGAAAATCTATAAATTTTTTGTTTAAAAAATTTATTTATAAAACTAAGTTTTTCAACATTTTCTCCAAAATACAATAACTTGATATATGCACTTTTTCTTTGTTGCCACAGATTCAGAAAATCTCTTTTCATTTCCCTACAAATCCCGGGAGTATAATGAGTTGTTGGTCCCAACAATACCTGATTATTTCACCAGTCAGCACTTGTTGGGTTTTTAATATTTATTTGTTGGTTTCAAGAGTCCTTGAGTATAAAAAAATACACACAAGTACCATTTGCCAGAAATTAGAGCAAAAAATAAAGTAAAAACAAACAAAGTTAAAATTAAATAAAAGGTGTGATTTATTGAAATGAGTAGTTGAATTTAATGAATTTTAACATGAAGTATTCCAGCAAAAATAAAATTATAAAATTCCTATTTAACCAGATACTTGCTTTAGCCAATATACATATAAATGGAATTTTTAAAGTAGTTTACAAAGTTGGTTTTTATTTTGCTTAAATTAATTAAATGTTTGAAATTTTTTAACAAAAATTATAATGAAAACATTTATTATCTAGCGTTAAAATCCGTTTTCATTATCTTTTGGTGTGAATAAAACATTCCTAAATGAATGTTAACACTTCAAAAATCATTGATGTATTAAATCGGTAAAAGTGCAAATCATGTAATGATTTTTATAAAATGACGAAGCAAATTTTGACACAAAACAAACATAAAACATTTAATGAACAAGATGTTAATGAAAATTGTATATGAAAAAATGTTCATTCCCAATGACCTTGTAGCTGAAAACGAATAGAGATATTAATAATTTTTGCAAAGTAATGCTTAATAATCTTGAAATTAAACAAGATGTGAAGATTTTAAGATAAAAAGTTAAAATGCCTAAAAATGCCGAACAACTTTTCTCATTACAAAAACTTTTTGTGAATAAATAGAAATTTAAAATTTAGTTTTAACAAGTGTTTTTCAGGTTTTTAAAAGCTTTTGAAACATTTTATTAAAAAACTTCTTTAAACTTTTATATAAAATGATTTTTATAACATTTACCAGCTTTTAAGAACTCTTTCAAAAAAGCTTTACAAGACTTTTCAAACTAGTATTTCTTAACTTTTTACACAAGAGTAGCTTTCAATAACGTTTTTCCAAAACGTCTATAAAAACCTTTTCAGAAATTTTATAAAAACATTTCAAATTTTTATTTTTTAAATTTATACAAAAAGCTTTTCTATATTTTATTCAAAAGCTTTTAAAAACTCTTGCAATTAAGCTTTTTCAAAAATTTTACAAAAAATTGTTTAAAAATTTCACAGAAAAGTTTTTTTTACAACATTTACATATGTAAAACTTTAAGCTTTTTCACATAAAACTAGTTTTAAACTTTTTTTCATAAAGCTTTTGTTTTGAAATTTTATTTGCAAAAAAGCTTTGTTAAAAATATTTGAAGTTTTACAAACCAATCTTATTAAACCAATATTTTTCAAAAATTGTACAAGCAAGCTTTTTTAAGCTTTAAATATTTACACCACAAGCTTTTGTATAATTCTTTCAAAAGTAATTGATGCTTAAAAAAAACTTATGCAATATAGCTTTTCCAAAACTTTTACAAAAAAGCTTTTTTAAACTTTTCTGCGGAAAAATTGTTTTTTTTTAACTTTTTTTTTGGAAAATGCCTTAAAATAAAACTAATCTAAAACTTTTTCCACATAGAGCCTTTTTAAGCTTTTTTTAAATATTCTCCTAAAAAGCTTTTTTAAGCTTAAACATACTTTTTGCAAAAACCTCTATTTCATGCTTTAAAAAAAACTGATGCAATAAAGCTTTTCCAAAACTTTTACATAAAAGCTTTTTTAAACTTTTCTGCGGAAAAACTAGTTTTTTTACTTTTTTTTGAAAAATGCCTTAAATAAAACTAATATAAAAGTTTTTCCACATATAGCTTTTTTAAGCTTTTTTTAATATTTTCCTAAAAAGCTTTTTTAAGAAAACCTTGTTTTTTTATTATTTTTTTTAAGTTTTTAAAAAAAAAAACTAATCAAAAACTTTTTCCACATAGTGATATTTTTAAGCTTTATAAAATATTTTCCTGAAAAGCCTTTTTCAGCTTCAACATAATTTTTCTAAAAACCTCTATTTCATGCTTTTAAAAAAACTGATGCAATAAAGCTTTTCCAAAACTTTTACAAAAAGCTTGTTTAAACTTTTCTGCGGAAAAACTAGTTTTTTTTTTGTAAACTTTTTTGTTTTTAAAAATGCCTTAAAATAAAACTAATCTAAAACTTATTCCACATAGAGATTTTCTAGGTTTTTTTTAATATTTTCCTAAAAAGCAAAAAAGCTTTAACAAACTTTTTTCCAAAATAGCTCTTTTTTATTTTTATTTTACGATAGTCTTACTTAAACTTTTTTATAACAATTTTCGCAAAGTTTTGAATAAAATTATTTGAACTTGAAGACTTTTTTTTTTATCAAGATTTGATGAATATAAAAAGTTTTTGTCTTGTTTTACATAAAAATTTGGAACACATTTTAAGAAACTTTTGTAAAAACTACATTTGTAATACTAATATGACGTTTTATTTGTTACTTTTACTAATTGATATTAAACTTTTTAAAAGCGATTTTTAAGTTTATAATAATTAATTAAAAGATAAATATGCATTTGAAAAAACCCTCCAATTTTTTAAGAATACACAAAAAACAACAACAATAATACGTATTTGTTTGGTAAATTTTTAAAAATGCACAAGTCAAAGTTTATTCACATTTAGTTAAAAATTAAACAAATAAACCAAAAAAACAACATTGAATGACAGACGAGGTTTTTGTTTTTCATCAAGTTAAGTAAACATAATTTGTGGTATTTTCGTAGTCATAAAATAAATAAATAAAACAAAAGAATATTTTTGGAAAAAGCTTTTGTAAAGTAGCCAAAAAACACGTATGATTAATATTTAATTTATGAAAAAAAAATACTCATACGCCACCATATTATAACAAGAAAAAAATATTAATTAGCATGTTTTTGGAAAAAGATTTTTGTAAAGTGACCAAAAACACGTATAATTAACATTTAATTTAAGACTAAAAATACTCATACGCCTCCATATTATAACAAGAAAAAATTTCAAATAACATGTTTTCGTAATAAGTATATGTATTTATGTATAAAGACGTAATAAGAAAAATTATATTTTTTAAAAGAAAATTTATAGAAAAACTCCTTGTCATTCTTGTAATTAATTAAATCTGTTTTCTCTCTCTCTCTTTCTCCAACTTTCAGCCTTAAAAATGCCCACAAACGATACCCTGCACGATTTCAATCACAATAACAACATGATTTTAGACAGTTACGACAATACACATCCAGAATTTGATAATTCAACCGAACGAGACGTTATAGCAGCAGTGGGCACAACAGCACGACTACATTGTCGTGTGAAAAACTTGGGTGATCGAGCGGTGTCGTGGATAAGAAAACGTGATCTACACATACTCACAATTGGTATAATGACCTATACGAATGATCAAAGGTTTCTAGCGCGGCACATAGACAATTCCGATGAATGGGTCTTGAAAATTGTATCCGTACAGCCGAGAGATGCGGGTGTGTACGAGTGTCAGGTGTCGGTGGAACCAAAAATAAGTCAAGCCTATAAATTAATGGTAGTTAGTAAGTATTTATGGGAAAACAGCATCATATTTAAAAAACTAAATTGAAACAATTTGTTTTGATTTAAACAGCTTCCAAAGCACAAATTCTAGCCAACCGTGAACTGTTCGTGCAAAGTGGCAGTGACATTAATTTAACCTGCATTGCACCACAGGCTCCCGGTCCCTACACTCACATGTTGTGGTTTAAAGACAGTGAACTAATCAACGACTCAACACGAGGTGGCATACGCGTCGTGTCAGAACAACAAATGAAAACTAGCAATTTAGTTATTTCTCGAGTAACACACACCGATTCGGGGAATTATACCTGTGCGGCAGACAATTCAAGTAAGTTGCAAGTGTAACAATGGGGGGTTTTTTTATTAACTTCCATGCAAGTTTTAGAATTTTATAGTTTATTTCCTATCATTAGTTGGTTTTACTGTAAGTTCTTGTTGGTAATTTGTTTTTGTTTGTGTGTTTTTCTTTTCACTTTTTCCAGATAGCGACAGTGTTTTTGTACATATCATCAATAGTGAAAAACATGCCGCCATGCAACATGAGTTAGCGTCACGATTGCATATACCACGTAGCCTTTTAGTGATACTAACCTTCTTCTATGTAAGTGTATTGAAATAAATATTTATAAAAGAACTATAAAAAGACAAAGTTCTATTTTTTGGGTCATGGCAAATTTTACACATACTTCTGTTTAATATTTCTTTTTGTGATGAAAGCTGTTTGGAAAAAATAAAAATTAGCTTTTTGGAAAAAAGTATTTGTTATGAAAGCGGCTTTTCTTCCCAAAAAAATGTAGAGAAAAAGTTTTTTTTTTCGAAAAGGTCGTTTTTATAAAAAGCACTTTTTGAAATAACTTTTTTGTAAAAAGTTCTTTTTGAAAAAAAAAGTTTGTGAAAAAGCTTTTTTGATTTTTGAACAAATCTTTTTTTAAAAAACTTTCTTTGTGGAAATGCCCTGTTTAGAAATTTTTCTCAAAAATGAGCTTTTTCCAAAGAAACTTTTTCTGAAAAGTATCTTTTATCTTCTAGATTGATAATCCTATATATTTTTAATAAATTTTTAATCCTATTAAAAAAGAAAAAAAAAACTTTAGAAACTATTTGCTTAATGAACTTCATACCTTCCCTACATTAATTTCAATAAAACACCACAATTTTCCATTAATTTGTAGCAGCTCTAAATTACTCCACTTTAATGTATTTTGTTCAATGCTCAACTACTAATTGTATTTTTATACCCTCCACCACCATCAGTGGTGATAGAGGGTATATATAACTTTGTCATTCCGTGTGTAACACCAAGAAATATTCATCTGAGACCCAACAAAGTATATATATTCTGGGTCCTTATCAAATTCTGAGTCGATTTAGCTATGTCCGTCTGTCCGTCTGTCTGTGTAAAACACGCTCACGATAAAACGAAGCAATAGAGTTTAACCAAATTCACCCAAAATGTTCTTCATTTTCCTAAGTTGTTTGGTATTGCAAATGGGCAAAATCGGTTCACACCGGGAAAAGTTATGAATCAAAATTTAAAACAACCTCGGAAAAAAATATGCATTTTTTACACATTCTGATGTAATTTTCTCGAAAACTATGCAAGATAATTCCATGAAAATCACCTTACATTCGTTTCTGCACAAGATCTTGATCCCTGCTGAAAATTGCTAGAATCGGTTCACAATTTCATATACCTCCCATACAAAAGTACATATTCCCGGAAAATGGGTTTTTTGTTAATAACTTCCGCCACAATGTCGATATCTTCACAAAATTTTACAAGTTAAAATCTTATATCAATAGAATTCTTTTAGAGGAAAAAATTTATGGATCGGTCCATAATTGGACATAGCTCCCATACAAGGTCCTCTCCCGAAAATCACTTAAACGCGCATAACTCATTACTAAATTAAGATATCCAAATAAAATTTGGTATAAGTATTGCCCATATGCATAGAAATATTACTGCGAAAGTGTTTTCCGATCGGTCCATAATTGGTTATAGCTCCCATACAAGGTCCCCTCCCGAAAATCACTTAAACGCGCATAACTCATTACTAAATTAAGATATCCATACAAAATTTGGTACAAGTATTGCCCATATGCATAGAAATATTACTGTGAAATTTTTATCCGATCGGTCCATAATTGGTCATAGCTCCCATACAAGGTCCCCTCCCGAAAATCACTTCAACGCGCATAACTCATTACGAAATTAAGATATCCATATAAAATTTGGTATAAGTATTACTCATATGCACAGAAATATTACTGTGAAAATTTTTTTCCATCGGTCCATAATTGGTCATGGCTCCCATACAAGGTCCCCTCCCGAAAATTACTTAAACGCGCATAACTCATTACTTAATTAAGATACCCATATGATACAAATATTACTCATATGCACAGAAATATTACAGATAATTTTTTTTTCCGATCGGTCCATAACTGGTCATAGCTCCCATACAAGGTCCCCTCCCGAAAATCATTTAAACGCACATAACTCATTACTAAATTAAGATATCCATATAAAGTTTGGCAGAAATATTGCTCATATACAGAGAAATATTACTGTGAAATTGTTTTCCTATCGATCCATAATTGATCATAGCTCTCATACAAGGTCCCTTTCAGAAAAACACTTAAAGGCACATAACTCATAACCAAATAATGATATAAATAAATACTATTTTTGTTCATAAATACTATTTTGTAATGCAAAAAGCACTTAATGCTATTTCAAAAATTTTTCACGATCGGTCTATATTTGGTCATATCTCTCATACTAGGTCCTGCCCCTAAAAGCGCTTTAACCGTATTTAACTCTTTGCATTATCAATTTGTGTAGAACAAAATTATATATATGTATGTATTTTTAAAATCCTTAAATCTTTCACACACATACATACATGCAAATACGAGATATCGCTAAAGCATATCTTAGGGCGCTATAAAAATTTAAATGAAAGTGGCGTTTCTAATGTTCAATAAATCTTGGAATTGTAGTAGATTTAAGCTGTTTAAATCTTGGGATTTTTCTATTTAAGACATGAGAAAACTTATTTCTACAAATATTTTATTAATTAGAAATGTATTAATACAAAGTTGCTGGTGGAGGGTATTTAAGATTCGGCTCAGCCGAATATAGCACTCTAACTTGTTTACTCTATATTTATTTCTTCTATTCTTTTCTATTTCATTTAATTATTTAGATTTTAGAACGAGTCATTAAATGAAACTAAATGCAACTGCTACAACATAAAGAACAACTACATCTATAGTCTGCTTTATCACCAAGAAACAAACAAACACACTTCTCTAGTCCTAAAATAATAATAAATTACATTTAACCACCGCCAGTAGCAGAGCAGAACCAAATAAAAACCAACAAGAAACTACAAACGAGCAACAAATTGTATTAAATAAATAAAAGTGCAGTGCGGTGCAAAGCAGTGGCGGCAGTGTAGCAGTAGTTTATGGCCGTAATGTTTATAATTATAAAACAAAAGGTTTACAGAAATACATACGCAGGAATTTAGTACATACACAAACAGACTTTTTATGAAACCTTAAAAGGCTGAAGTTTACAGTTCGAAGGTAAGTTCTTTGACTTTAACTAGATAATAAGTAAAAAGTAGAGTAAAATATGTATATAAGAAGAAATATGTAAGAATAAGATAAAGAGCTAAAGGCAACAAATTAATTGCATGCTATTCTTATGGTACGATACAGAAACTGGCACTGTGGGAAAACATTGCCAGTTCTGTAAATTAGCCAGGAAAAAATTCCATGGCTAGTCTATATTCTAGTCTATAGTCTAGTCTATAGTCTAGTCTATAGTCTAGTCTATAGTCTAGTCTATAGTCTAGTCTATAGTCTAGTCATAGTCTAGTCTATAGTCTAGTCTATAGTCTAGTCTATAGTCTAGTCTATAGTCTAGTCTATAGTCTAGTCTATAGTCTAGTCTATAGTCTAGTCTATAGTCTAGTCTATAGTCTAGTCTATAGTCTAGTCTATAGTCTAGTCTATAGTCTAGTCTATAGTCTAGTCTATAGTCTAGTCTATAGTCTAGTCTATAGTCTAGTCTATAGTCTAGTCTATAGTCTAGTCTATAGTCTAGTCTATAGTCTAGTCTATAGTCTAGTCTATAGTCTAGTCTATAGTCTAGTCTATAGTCTAGTCTATAGTCTAGTCTATAGTCTAGTCTATAGTCTAGTCTATAGTCTAGTCTATAGTCTAGTCTATAGTCTAGTCTATAGTCTAGTCTATAGTCTAGTCTATAGTCTAGTCTATAGTCTAGTCTATAGTCTAGTCTATAGTCTAGTCTATAGTCTAGTCTATAGTCTAGTCTATAGTCTAGTCTATAGTCTAGTCTATAGTCTAGTCTATAGTCTAGTCTATAGTCTAGTCTATAGTCTAGTCTATAGTCTAGTCTATAGTCTAGTATAGTCTAGTCTATAGTCTAGTCTATAGTCTAGTCTATAGTCTAGTCTATAGTCTAGTCTATAGTCTAGTCTATAGTCTAGTCTATAGTCTAGTCTATAGTCTAGTCTATAGTCTAGTCTATAGTCTAGTCTATAGTCTAGTCTATAGTCTAGTCTATAGTCTAGTCTATAGTCTAGTCTATAGTCTAGTCTATAGTCTAGTCTATAGTCTAGTCTATAGTCTAGTCTATAGTCTAGTCTATAGTCTAGTCTATAATCTAGTCTATAGTCTAGTCTATAGTTAGTCTATAGTCTAGTCTATAGTCTAGTCTATAGTCTAGTCTATAGTCTAGTCTATAGTCTAGTCTATAGTCTAGTCTATAGTCTAGTCTATAGTCTAGTCCAGCGGTTCCCACCGTTTTTTACTTCGCGGACCCCTTGAGGAATTTATTTAATTTCACGGACCCCCATACATATTTTGATATCTTATTGTTATAAATAATTGTTTATCCGAAAATTGTCTTAGTCCCTATAAAATATTCCCGTACATTGAGAATATTTAGTATTTCGGAGATGTTTTCAATTGCATGGTTTTAAATATAGAATGACTTCTAACATGATGTTTAATTTTATGATCGTGAGAGCTTTCATGTTCATTTCTCGCCAAGGTAGCGAAAAGGTTTCTTTATCAAGTATTGTCGACATGTGCTTAAATAGTCATGTTTCTAAATTTTTTTTTGTGATTGCATAGGAGTGAGCTGAGTATGTAAGCTAAGTTTTCGGGAAAATATGTGAAAGTTAGACTTCTTCGATGTTGTTGCGTAATGCGTTACCCACATAAAATATGACCTGAACTCTTTGCGAATGTACTGTGAATTTGGATCTTAAATTTGAATTTTAAAATACCTACGAATTATTTTACTGCGTGGTTTTGACTATTTACGTAAAACGCTATGAATTTCTGATGTTGATTTAATAATATTGGACAACAAAATGAAGTTAGAATCTGTGTATCACGTCGGAATTGGAATATTTATATTTAAAATTAACTGGATTAACACTTTTGCTTACAATTTAAAAAAATATTATGAAATGTGACCTAACTTCATATTCCGGGATACCAATATCAGTATTTAATTCTAAGGCAAATCATTATCCGTCTGATATAAAAACATTTATTTCGATACATATACATTTATAAAAATTACAAATCACGTAATACTTTACTTTATAAAAGTGAAACAATAAATTTGTAGGGCCTAGCTTCATCCTGATAAACGACCGAAACAATAAAATTCAAAAAGTCACCAATAAATCTGGGATTATTGAATAAAAATTGCGTATTTTAGTATTTATGAAAAATTTGGAGATATTTTTAATATTTTCTAACATATAGAGAATACTTTTTATTCATGATTTTTTCGTTCGTCTTCGCGGACCCCCTAGGATTTTGCTACGGACCACTAGGGGTCCGCGGACCCCCTTTCGGGAACCCGTTGGTCTAGTCTATAGTCTAGTCTAGAGTCTAGTTATATTCTAGTCTATTCCTAGTCTAATAGTCTAGTCTAATATTCTAGTCTATGTCCTAGTCTATAGTCTAGTCTAATAGTCTAGTCTATAGTCTATCTCTAAGTCTATAGTCCCTATAGTCTAGTCTATATCTAGTCTATAGTCTAGTCTATATCTAGTCTATAGTCTATCTATAGTCAGTCTATAGTCTAGTCCTATGGCTGTCTATAGTCTAGTCTATAGTCTATCTATATCTAGTCTATATCTAGTCTATAGTCGAGTCTATATTCTAGTCTATAGTCCTATCTATAGTCCTAGTCTATAGTCTGTCTATAGTCTAGTCTATAGTCCTGTCTATCGTCCTAGTCTATAGTTTAGTCCTATAGTCCTAGTCCTTATATCCTAGTCACTATATCTAAAGTTTAGTCTAAGTCTAGTCTATATCTAGTCTATATCTAGTCTAATAGTCAGAGTTTTATCCTATAGTCTAGTCTAAATATTCTAGATAGTCTAGTCTATAGTCTAGAGTTTAGTCTATAGTCTAGTCTATAGTCTAGAGTTTAGTCTATAGTCTAGTCTATAGTCTAGTCTATAGTCTAGTCTATAGTCTAGTCTATAGTCTAGTCTATAGTCTAGTCTATAGTCTAGTCTATAGTCTAGTCTATAGTCTAGTCTATAGTCTAGTCTATAGTCTAGTCTATAGTCTAGTCTATAGTCTAGTCTATAGTCTAGTCTATAGTCTAGTCTATAGTCTAGTCTATAGTCTAGTCTATAGTCTAGTCTATAGTCTAGTCTATAGTCTAGTCTATAGTCTAGTCTATAGTCTAGTCTAGTCTAGTCTATAGTCTAGTCTATAGTCTAGTCTATAGTCTAGTCTATAGTCTAGTCTATAGTCTAGTCTATAGTCTAGTCTATAGTCTAGTCTATAGTCTAGTCTATAGTCTAGTCTATAGTCTAGTCTTAGTATAGTCTATAGTCTAGTCTATAGTCTAGTCTATAGTCTAGTCTAGTCTATAGTCTAGTCTATAGTCTAGTCTATAGTCTAGTCTATAGTCTAGTCTATAGTCTAGTCTATAGTCTAGTCTATAGTCTAGTCTATAGTCTAGTCTATAGTCTAGTCTATAGTCTAGTCTATAGTCTAGTCTATAGTCTAGTCTATAGTCTAGTCTATAGTCTAGTCTATAGTCTAGTCTATAGTCTAGTCTATAGTCTAGTCTATAGTCTAGTCTATAGTCTAGTCTATAGTCTAGTCTATAGTCTAGTCTATAGTCTAGTCTATAGTCTAGTCTATAGTCTAGTCTATAGTCTAGTCTATAGTCTAGTCTATAGTCTAGTCTATAGTCTAGTCTATAGTCTAGTCTATAGTCTAGTCTATAGTCTAGTCTATAGTCTAGTCTATAGTCTAGTCTATAGTCTAGTCTATAGTCTAGTCTATAGTCTAGTCTATAGTCTAGTCTATAGTCTAGTCTATAGTCTAGTCTATAGTCTAGTCTATAGTCTAGTCTATAGTCTAGTCTATAGTCTAGTCTATAGTCTAGTCTATAGTCTAGTCTATAGTCTAGTCTATAGTCTAGTCTATAGTCTAGTCTATAGTCTAGTCTATAGTCTAGTCTATAGTCTAGTCTATAGTCTAGTCTATAGTCTAGTCTATAGTCTAGTCTATAGTCTAGTCTATAGTCTAGTCTATAGTCTAGTCTATAGTCTAGTCTATAGTCTAGTCTATAGTCTAGTCTATAGTCTAGTCTATAGTCTAGTCTATAGTCTAGTCTATAGTCTAGTCTATAGTCTAGTCTTAGTCTAGTCTATAGTCTAGTCTATAGTCTAGTCTATAGTCTAGTCTATAGTCTAGTCTATAGTCTAGTCTATAGTCTAGTCTATAGTCTAGTCTATAGTCTAGTCTATAGTCTAGTCTATAGTCTAGTCTATAGTCTAGTCTATAGTCTAGTCTATAGTCTAGTCTATAGTCTAGTCTATAGTCTAGTCTATAGTCTAGTCTATAGTCTAGTCTATAGTCTAGTCTATAGTCTAGTCTATAGTCTAGTCTATAGTCTAGTCTATAGTCTAGTCTATAGTCTAGTCTATAGTCTAGTCTATAGTCTAGTCTATAGTCTAGTCTATAGTCTAGTCTATCTAGTCTATAGTCTAGTCTATAGTCTAGTCTATAGTCTAGTCTATAGTCTAGTCTATAGTCTAGCTATAGTCTAGTCTATAGTCTAGCTATAGTCTAGTCTATAGTCTAGTCTATAGTCTAGTCTATAGTCTAGTCTATAGTCTAGACTATAGTCTAGTCTATAGTCTAGTCTATAGTCTAGTCTAGTCTAGTCTAGTCTAGTCTAGTCTAGTCTAGTCTAGTCTATGTCTAGTCTATAGTCTAGTCTATAGTCTAGTCTATAGTCTAGTCTATAGTCTAGTCTATAGTCTAGTCTATAGTCTAGTCTATAGTCTAGTCTATAGTCTAGTCTATAGTCTAGTCTATAGTCTAGTCTAAAGTCTAGTCTATAGTCTAGTCTATAGTCTAGTCTATAGTCTAGTCTATAGTCTAGTCTATAGTCCAGTCTATAGTCTAGTCTATAGTCTAGTCTATAGTCTAGTCTATAGTCTAGTCTATAGTCTAGTCTATAGTCTAGTCTATAGTCTAGTCTATAGTCTAGTCTATAGTCTAGTCTATAGTCTAGTCTATAGTCTAGTCTATAGTCTAGTCTATAGTCTAGTCTATAGTCTAGTCTATAGTCTAGTCTATAGTCTAGTCTATAGTCTAGTCTATAGTCTAGTCTATAGTCTAGTCTATAGTCTAGTCTATAGTCTAGTCTATAGCTAGTCTTAGTCTAGTCTATAGTCTAGTCTATAGTCTAGTCTATAGTCTAGTCTATAGTCTAGTCTATAGTCTAGTCTATAGTCTAGTCTATAGTCTAGTCTATAGTCTAGTCTATAGTCTAGTCTATAGTCTAGTCTATAGTCTAGTCTATAGTCTAGTCTATAGTCTAGTCTATAGTCTAGTCTATAGTCTAGGTCTATAGTCTAGTCTATAGTCTATGTCTAATCTAGTCTTAGTCTCTCGTCTAGTCTATAGTCTCGTCTATATTTCTAGTCTATAGTCTAGTCTATGTCTAGTCTAGTCTAGTCTAGTCTAGTCTAGTTCTAGTCTAGTCTAGTCTAGCTCTAGTCTAGTCTAGTCTAGATCTAGGTCTAGTCTAGTCTAGTCACGTCTATAGTCTAGGTCTAGTCTAGTCTTGTCTAGTCTAGTTCTAGTCTAGTCTAGTCTAGTCTTAGTCTAGTCTAGTCTAGTTCTAGTCTAGTCTAGTCTAGTCTAGTTAGTCTAGTCTAGTCTATAGTCTAGTTAGTCTATAGTCTAGTCTATGTCTAGTCTATAGTCTAGTCTATAGTCTAGTCTATAGTCTAGTCTAGTCTGTAATGTATAGTCTATAATTAAGTTTTGTTTCTAGTTTAAATTTTTTTCTACAGTACCTTATAAAATATATTTAAAATATTAGTTATTTATGTTAGTTAGTATGTGTAGATATTTCTGAACTAGTATGTATGTATGTTTAACTATAAATATATTTATGTCTTATGAACTGGTTATACTTTTTCTTTTGTAGATCATCGAAATGGTGTACAGATTAAAATATAAAACTGTAACCCTCCCTGTTCACCATCAACCACAAAAATATACCCCAGAAGGCAAAAACAACAATAAATACAGAAAGAGGTTGTGGAACGAGCCACCTTTGGCAGCATAATATTAGTTTAAGTTTTATATTGTTTGTTCAAAGGAAAATGTAATCCAGGTAAAATCCTAACGTTTGAGATACAGATACATATGTGGCTTAATATATAATATCTATACGTAAGGACACACATACTTTAGCTCCTTATCGAGCTATAACTCTTTAGTAAATGTTACGTACTCTGATCCTAGAATACACATTAATACAATGTTAGTTAAAATATAAAGTGCCAGGTATTTTAGACAAGTTTTCCTACAAGTATATTGTCTTATAATTATTGGTATTTGTTTAAGCAAAAGAAATAACTATACAATAATTTAGTTTGTGAATACTAGAGAAAAAGACAATATGTGTATAAGAGGATCCTTTAGTATTTTTGAATAAATAAATGTGTGTCCTTATTGAAAGCATATAAAGGTATATTGTTGTAGTTGTGTGTTTGCTATTTCAAATTTTCTTTACCTACAGTGTATGTATGTTTATAAATTACTGTCCTTAAAATCCTGTCTTTGCTGTTATTGCTACGATTAGCATTACAACACTACTACCCAGCAATCATATTTGAGCAGTTTGGAATAATCGAATTTCCGAATGAGTTTTTGATGAAATTTCTAATAAATGAACATTAATTTTACAAAGAAAAAATTTAAAAGATATCATAAAGAGGACATTTTAAAGGAATATTTAATAAAAATTTTCTTAAATAAAAGCAAATTTTCTGAATTTTATATTATTTCTAACAAGATCATATTTCTTCTTTGCTGGGTTAGTTGCTTACTACTGCTACTACTGTTGACATTAACCAGACGAAAATCTGAACAAGCTTTGCTAAATGTTTGTAGTCGAATAATTGAATGCTCAAGTTTTGTTTTCTTTTTTTTTAAGAAAAAGCACAAGAAAACCAACAAAATTTACTGAAAAAAAAGAGAAACTCATGCTGAGTTTTATTATGAAATTGAACATTTTTTTTGTCTTATTTCTAATATTAAGGATTTGTATAGAATTCGTATACCATGTAAATGTGTGTGTGTATGTTGTACTATGTAAATGTGGATATGTGGTTGTTAGTAACAGTGAATTTGTGTTTGTGTGTGCACAAGAGTAAGCAAATATTTACAAGCAACTTCTGTTTGTTTAAGAAAAACTAATAGCATAAAGCTAGTTTATGACCAAAAAGGAAGAAAAATAGAAAAAAAGCAAAAATTAAGTAAAAACCTTATAGACCTGTAAACATTTGCATACATTAACAACATGCATGAGAACGTAAGAATAGGGGAAGTATAGCCCATGGTAACAAATGAAATGATAAAAGTTTGTTCAATAGTTTGTTTAAAACATGTCCAAGCTTTAAAACAATAATATTGTTATAATTAATATATTTCATAGAATCCTCTATATTTGCATACCTTCCCTCTTTTGAGACATTTTTATAACATTTCATTTAAACTATGTTTATTTTCAAGTGTTTACACTTCTTACTCACAACAAGGAAACAAGAAAAGAGCCAAAGAAAGAATTTAATAAAAATTGTAAATGTATCCTTATCCTTGTGCTCATACAAAGCTATACACACACTCTTACCCTCTTACCCCCAAATATCCACATTAACATATAATTACATATATACTCACACATATGAAAATGTAAATAGTTAAAGTGTTAATTGTAAATACTTTTTACCAGGTTTTTAATTTCTTTTCATTATGGTTTAAATGTAATTTTGTTACACATTCTCAGTTGTTTATTTCATTTTTTCGGTCTTTAGCATTTAAGTATTTTTGTACTTGTCTTTTAGGTAAAAGAATAATAAAAATACGAAAAAATAATAATAATAATAAATATTATAATAAGAATTTAAAGAAATTTAAACATAAAGAAAAATAATAATAAAAACAACAACAATAATAATTTAAATTTAATTTAAATTCATAAAGAAAATAAGAAAAAAAAAATCAAATAAAATAAAGAAAAAAATGTTTGAAAGAAACATTAAGAAAGAAATAAAAAAATTATCAAAAGATTTTGTTGTTTATTTTATTTTCGGCTTTAAGGTAAGTATTCTAGTTATTGTTATAAGGTAGAGTTTATCAGCTGTAAGTTAAGCATTAATTTAACAAAAAAATATTTTTAAATTAAGCAGAAATTTAATCTTAAAGTTAAAAACTCTTATTGAAAACAAAGTTAAACTGCCTTTCTACAACCAATCCCCTAAAGTAATAACGTTTATTTAAACACGTCTATATGTATGTATTCCTATAAGTCTGCATAAATATCTCCAATTATATATACGACTTTTATTGACTTTGATGTTCAACAGCAAACAACAACAAAAAGTTTTATTTTATTTTCATGAAATTCGCTTTATTTCTCTAACAAGTTTTTTCTTTTCCACTTTAGCTCTGACTGAAATTCTCCAGAGTGTCAGAAAAATATTAAGATTCAAAAAACAAAAGTACAATATAATAACAACAAGACAAAAGGAAAACAAAAATAAAATATAAATTCCAAAAATACCATAAATGCAAAGTAATACATACTTATTTCTATATTTTCTTAAAGTTTATTTATGCATAAATAGCATAAATATTTGATATAGAATGGAATTAAAGTTTTATATATATATATTTAAAAGATATTTTGGATAAAATGATAAATGATTGCGAAAAGTGAAAAATTTAAGTGTTAGAAGAAGTGACTAAAACATAATTTTATACTAAACAAGCTAAAATCCATTTGAAGTTTTCAATTTTGCTTTCGTGATGAGGGTGCTAACTGTCATTTAGTAACTGCTTTATACACCTATGGGGCTAATGTTGATCAAGTTCATAATTAATTTATAGGCCTTTCATGGTGGATTTGACCAATTATTAGGCGATCCGAATAAAATTTCCAATCTGAATAGTTTCTGAGAAAACTATTCTCGAACTAGGAAAAAACCGGCATTAGTTTTGAGGTGGTGTGAAATTTTTACTTATAACTTTTTGTGTTGTAAACTGATTTTGCTGATTTTCAATCACAAACTGCTTAGCGTAATAATGAACATAGTCGGTGAATTTGGTTGATTTCCTTTGCATAGTTTTACTGTGAGCGTGTTTTAGGCAAACACACAGACGGATATAGCTAAATCGACTTTGAATTTCATAAGGAGCCGAAATGGCAAACTTGTATAAACACTCTATAACCACAGATGATGGTGGAGGGTATAAAAAATGACGGTGGAGGGTATAAAAAAGATTTTATACTAAAAACATTTTTTATTTAAAAAACCAGTTCTATCCTAGTATAGGTTAGGTTGATAGGAGGATGTATACTACATCAAATCTGAAGAAATACACCTAGGCCACTATCGAGCCTATTGTGAATTATTTTTCAGTGTTCAGAAACTCAGTTTCCTGAACGTAATTCCAAAGAATCTTTCAATCAGTGTTAGTCAGAAATGTTATTTCCGGAATAACATCACTTCCAAGATACTTGAATCTAACTTCGACGAATGCCTGGCAGTGGCATAGAAAGTGCTCCAGAGTTTCACTGTCCTCTCCACATTCTCTACATTCGTCTGAATCCGAACGTCCAATTTTGCATAGATGTGCTCGTAATCCTGTGTGTCCGATCAGAATACCTACCATAATACTAACTTCAGACTTGCTCATTTTGAGGAGATTTTTTGTCTTGCTCTCATCAGGGCCACTCCATAGGATCTTCGTGGTTCTATCCACTGTTTTATTATTCCAAGAGGCCTTATGGAATTCTCTCACCCATATTTTTAGTTCAGATTTTGTTGAGTCGAATGGTTTTGCGTTTGTCAGGTTAACTGCCTCGAGCGCCCTTTCCTTTAAAGCTATTACATTCGTCCTTTCGTTGCTGACTACTCCCGAGTGGGCTGGTACCCATATGATAGTTCTTATACTTAAAACAAGTTTTTATACGAAAAACATATTTTTTTACTAAAAACACGTTTATATACTAAAACACGTTTTCTTACTAAAAACTCTTTTCTATACTAGAAACACCTTATACTAAAAACAAATTTTTGTACTAAAAACTTGTTTTTATACTAAAAATACGTTTTTATACTAAAAACACGTTTTTATAATAAAAATACGTTTTTATACTAAAAACACGTTTTTATACTAAAAACGCGTTTTTATTCCAAAAACACGTTCTTATACTAAAAACACGTTTTTATACTAAAAACACGTTTTTATACTAAAAACACGTTTTTATAATAAAAATTGGTTTTTATACTAAAAACTGGTTTTTATACTTAAAACTTCTTTTTTATATTAAAAACAAGTTTTTATACTAAAAATACGTTTTTATACTAAAAATATGTTTTCATACTAAAAATACGTCTTATACTAAAAACTCGTTTTTATACTAAAAACTCGATTTTATACTAAAAACTCGTTTTTATACTAAAAACTCTTTTTATATAATGAACATGGTCGGTAAATTTGGTTGATTTCCTTCGCATAGTTTTACCGTTTTTATACTAAAAACTCGTTTTTATATTACAAACTCGTTTTTATACAAAAAACGACGTTTTTATGCACGCCTTTTTATACTGAAAACACGTTTTTATACTGAAAACACGTTTTTATACTGAAAACACGTTTTTATACTAAAACTTGTGTTTATACTAAAATTCTTTTTTATACAAAAACACGTTTTTTATTAAAACTATGTTTTATACTAAACATAATTTTATACTAAAAACTTGTTTTTATACTAAAAATAAATTTTATACTTAAAATAAGTTCTTCTACTAAAAATAAGTTTTTATACTAAAATAACCTTTTAAATTAAATATAAGTTTTTTGTACTAAAAACACCTTTTTACACCGCATTTTAGTCATTATCTTTAAATTTCATTATTTTTGCTCTAGAGTCTACACTAATTTATTTTATGGTCTGATATAAATTTTATTAAACAATCTATATAAAATTACATGATGACATTGTTTAATTTTGTTTAAAACCAAATATCAAAAATACTAAATTATTTCAAAATATGTATTTCTACTTCAGTTGATTCGAACAAACAAATGAAAAATTCTACTTTAAAAATACAAATATTGTTTTTGTTTAATTTATAGTCCTGTTTTTTGTACTGAAATTAAATATTTATAATTTGCAATAAAAAGAAAAATTGCAAAATATTAAATTTTAATTATTCATAATACAAATGTTTATTTTTTTTTACAAATATTTATAAGAAAATATTTAATATTGCAACAATGTAAAAAACTGTATTAAAATTATATTTAATATTAAATTACAAAAACATTTCTTTTCTTCAAGCAATGCAATGGTATTAACATTACCACGTGTTCATTAATTTCATTTAAGAAATACCAACACAAATAAGACCATTATTAAATTCCCAAAAAGTCAATAATCTCTAACAAAGGCCGATTGGTATATGGCAGACAAATTTAGTCGTAGAAAAATGAGAAATTTTAAGAAACAAATAATGCACTTAAGTGGCTTCTTGCTTACATTTAAGTTAATTATATATATTTTTTTGTTTTTTCTTCGAAAAATAGAAAATGAAACAAGAAAATTAAGCAAACGTACTTGTGCTAAGAAAACCATTCATTTATAAGTTATTGTTTAACAAATGATTAATTACTGTTAATAAATGCATGAAAATTTTAGAATTTTTGTTTATAAAATTAAAAAAAATAGTATAAAATATATAAAAATTTCGGCGTAAAAAGGTAAAAATATAAAATTACTTTAATTAGCATTTCTCATAAATATATTATATTGTTATTAAAGATAATAATAATAATCTTGTCTAATTTACGTTTTATAATACTTCCCAAAAATTATTGACTGTCATGAACTTTTAATAACTGCTGGTTTGTACAGATACCAATAACTTGATTATTATGAAATTAGTGTAATTTCCCTTTATTAAAACAAGGTTATTTACTTTATATGCAAACACTTTTGATTGTATAAATTATAGACACCATGTCGCATGAGTGTTATCAAGAATTTAAATATTGATCATACGTCTGGTGACACAAATAAATATTAAATTTATTTATCCTTTACATGGTATCCATTTAAATTGCGAATGTGTTGACAATGCAGTTTAATTAATAATTAAATTTATCGGAAAATTTTGTAAAAAAATACATTTTGTAATAGACATGTCAAAAATAATTAAAAAATTTTTCATAAAACCCACAATTCCACAAATTTATAATATAAATAATTTTACATTTTACTAATTCCTTAAATAATTACATTATTATTGATATAATAACGTGTTGAATTACATTTGATTATAATGATTTGATTAATGAAAAAAATCGAATGTCAAAATCACTACATTAACGTTAGAACTATATATATTTAGTTATTTGTTTATAATTTCTTCTTTTGTTCTTTCTATTGACTACCATGTGCACCTTGTCGCATGAGTGCCATTATGGAATTAAATATTAATCATACGTGACTAAACCATTCATTCCATGTTTAACAACTATAATTGGATAAATTATTTCTCTTCAACAATATGTTAGCTAAATAAAGGACTAGACAGACTGTAGACTAGACTATAGACTAAGACTAGAATATATACTAGACCATAGACTAGACTACAGACTAGACCATAGACTAGACTACAGACTAGACTATAGACTAGACTACAGGCTAAGACTAGACTATAGACTAAGGCTACGACTAGACTA